TAAAAAACCTGTGAATCATAACTGCACTGAGAAACACAGCAGTTATTTGTTTCCCTTTTATGGATGAGCTGGAGGATTTCTGAGTAGATGAGGATGTTACTGATAATGTCTGAGAAAACGTAGGAGGCCACAGGGTAGTCCCCCCCGTACCCCCCCAACCCCAGAATGTTGATGAAGGCTGGGAAGAAATCAGCACATGAAGTGACTCCCCGTCACAGATTCAGCTCTGAAATCAGCAGCGACAGACGCAGCAGAGTCCGTGATTGGCTTCACGCTGAGGCGTGAGAAATTAAGAGCGTCAATCAGCCGCTGATTACGTTCCAGTAAATCACACTGTGTTGGAGACTTTCACCTTTTTAACTCTGTAGGTCTTATCATTGAAACTGGAGTGCATGTTTGTTTTTATTTGAAGTATTTTTGTGGCGTCTACGTACTGCGAAACAAAGCTAACGTATGTCACCGGTGTTCATTAAACCAGTCTGCCTTTTTTCACAGTTGGTCCACTTTGAGTGGCCCACAATCTGGGTCACATACATTTACCAAGACTCTAGACTTCTAGCCCTAAGTTCTAGCCCTAACCTGTCTATATCTGGGTTATGTTTAATAACACCTGGATTACAGACGTTGGCCACTAGAGGTCAATAATTCACTGCTACTAATTGATTAGCTTGAAAAGCGTTGCAGTTTAATGTATAGGTTGTCAAATCCTCATGGTGCCCAGACGGGGGAGAAACAAATTCTCCTCTGTATAATTTTTTTTTCAAACAGATTTTTAATTTCTACTTCAAAGGGACCCCGGGGGCAAGATTCGGTCCCGTCTCGGTTCGTTTACGCCCCTGTAGCGAGCATCTATTTTAACGCAGCCCGCGGACACAGAGATGATGCGTCAGTCTGACAAATGTAGACTGGACTCTACGGGGAACCTCGTTTTTAACCACGTATCCTAAAACTTCCTATCCTAAAACGCCGACAACTTCGGTTGAAAGTCTCCAGAAACTCGGCCGTCACTTACTTTGTATTTCATCTTGTTGCTCTTCCGCCGTCACTCCGGGAATTAAAAAAAAAATAAAATAAAATTATCCTCTTTGCGGCAGCACAGAGACACACATCTGAATAACGGAGCAGTGTGAGGTGTGTGTGTGCGCCGTCACCGAACCATCCACTGCGCCACAGACACTCACTGACCAGGATCGCAGAGAGTCCGCTATGATTCTTCACCGCCGCACATCTACACGTTCTCCTGCTCAGTGTACACACCGTCCACTGGTCATTTACATGCCACGGTCCTGATTGGCCGAAGGTATCATACAAACCACGCCCATTTTTAAACAAATCCAACCCTCGAATGTGACGTCATTATCATCACAAAACGACGTGCGGAGTTATGAGACCGTTTCTCTCGCTGTAAACAGACATTTTTGGTAATATTCACATTTAACAATGCAATATTTTCCACTGAGTATTTATAAAGTATATTTTATAAAAACCTGCGTCACTTTGCATCAACACTACATATACTTAAAAAGTTTGTCCATTTATTGATATATTTCTTAGATATTATTTTGTAAATACTGTATATTCCTCTTACCTGACTAGTTTTTCCTTTGGATCAATATTCCGACTGATGATGTTGATGTTGATTGATGAAGATTTGAAGACCCCGGAGACAAAAGTTCAGGTTAAAACTTTGCAGCGAAGATGCAGAAATGATCAGCAGTGGAGAAAAAAAGAAAAATGAAAAACAGTACGAGAAAAAGTTAGCATGACATTTACGAAGAAGTAAAGAATAAAAACCTGTACACAACACTTTTTAATTTCTTTCTTCCTCAACATATTTATTTAAAGGTATCACAAAAAAGACACTTTATTATATTATATTATACTTTTATACCTAATGACTGAATTTCTAACACGTAGTACTATGGATAAATAATACGTTTTATAAAACTTTCTCACCGTGACTGGCGACGTGATGGTGATGCAGATGACGGCTGAGCTCTCACTTCTGCAAAACTCTGCTCGCAGTTTAATGGAGGTGATAAAACCACCCCTGCAGAGGAGTGAGTGACAGGAAGATGGTACACACCAGCGCGGTCACACATCTGATGCACACATCTGAGTTCACACAGGAACATTCTTCTTCAGCCTTAATGCAGTGTAATCCTAAGAAGAAGGTTTTCCACTCCCACCAGAGGAGAGTTCTGTCACAGGCACATGGGGTTTGACATTAGTTACTTCTTAATCCTGAAATTGATCAAATCAGCAATTCAACCTCCAGCACTGGATGTACTTTGTGCTATATTTTCCTCTAAATACTATAAGACTTTACCATGACAGTGAAGTTTCACTTCTACTGAGGCTTTACCATGACAGTGAAGTTTCACTTCCTGTTATTTTGTTTGATTTTTCAACATTATTCCAACCTGAGAATTTCACGACTGAATACTATTGATTGTACAGTCTATGAATCGGGACTTTGAACTCCTTATCTATATCTTTTCTTGTCTGGTGGGGGTCACGTTTGGAAGAAGGTGGGGGGGGGGGTTCTTCCTAAATGTTTGTGCCCACTTTCTCATAATCCGCCTTCACTTACACCTCGCTGGGAATGTTTGCTGTGCCCCTGCCGTCTTCAGAGCGTCTCCTGTAATTAGCCCTGCCTCTCATGTGTTCCCCAAACACTCTAATTTGTGTCAGCTCATTTATCACAATCACAGGGACCCCATCGGCCCCATTGTCCCCCGTGATGGGTCATATCCTCTGATGAATGCTCTCTCCGTGAGGAACTCAAAACACTCGTTTGTGTAATGTACACCGTGCCCAGCTGTACTGGGCACCGGGGGGGAGGGGGGTGCGAGGTGGGCATTCTTCCCTGAATACAACATGTGAGCACCTGTTTCCTCCAAACGACAACAACGGCTCGTTTTCTCATTTGTTTATATCAGTGCGTTTGGAGAAAACAGCTTGAAAATCCAGCCAGAAAAGCTTGTTTACGCCCTTTATTTACAACATCTGTTTGGACTGGATGAGTCCATTAGTCTTCTTTCTCCGGTGGCGCTTCATTTCAACTGGCTCCCACTCGGGCTCGCCATATGTTACTGCTTGTCTTTGATGCCAATGTCATGTATATGTTAAATGGAGTGAATCTCTCTCCTCTGATGGACTTTAAAGTGGTTCTAAACCACAGTTTGGACAGATCCGGTTTCACACGCTACATGTCCTAACAATCTTTAGTTGGACAGACAGTGTTACGTCCACATCAGACAGTAGCTAAACTGCAGTACCTGGTCGTTGTAGTATTTTTATTGATGCGTGTTTGGCCTCATGGTTGTCCATATTGGCTGGTCAGCAGGTTCCATGTGGATTCTCTTCTGATTGTTGGTACGTGGATGACCAGCCACTAGTCAATTTGCCAGCAAATACCATCGTACTACTAGCAAAGACATGCGTGGTGTCCAGATAGACGATGTTCTGCACATCGCGTTGCCGTCCGTGGGAACAGGCACCAAACCCAAACCAAGACGACTACAACAAACAGCCGAAATAACAGAGTGACTCTCCAACAGAGCTAGTCACCACCGACTGACTCCGTGTGAGTGCAGAAACGTTAATGATGCCTTGCTGTTGGCGAGTCCACGCAACCTCCCACAGTCAAGGACAGTGTACTCTTCAGGGGAAAGTAGGTCATTTCACCACATTAAAGCAGGGACTTGGTGGCTGTTCAGTGTTTTTGTTGGGCAGACTTGGTTCGTTTGTTGGCCTCAAACTGTTGAACAGTCTGTTTGTCTTCATTTTAGGGAGGTTTATCACACAAATAATTATTTTGAATTAGTTTAGTCCATCTTGACAGTGACAAAATGTCATTAATTTAAATAATGTGTCTTCATTTTAGTCCATCTTGACACTGACTGTATGTCATTAATTTAAATAATGTTCTGCCTTCTTGTAGGCTGCAGTCTACACCGTTCAGTCTCCTCAGACCATGTGGGCTGCAGGGCCTGACATTAACTGGACTTTGTTGTTGTTTGTGTTTTCTCAGATCTGAAATTCTCAGTGAGATTTTTTTGTTACATGTTTGTTCCGACTGTTTTATCTAAATTTGGACCAAAGTCCTCACGTCAAATCTCATCGGCCGTGACCACCACCACCACCAGGGCTCTGCGGGATTAGCTGTGTCTCACTCAGACCATATTTCAGGAGCAGAAATAGCCCCCCCACTTACTCCCCCCCCCAGTCCTTACGGCCTCACAGGTCTCAAGGTGTTATTATGGCACATTTCAGCTCGGAAATAGCGAGTGAAAAATGAGCCGGGCGTCTTTCATCTCTGCCAGGTGCCTGTGATGTTTGCCCTTACATAAGTGGCCCCGCAGATCTGACCCCGGCTTTAACAGAGGGGCAGAGCGGACATACATCTTCCATAAGTGGAGATCACAGGACCGTGTCGCCCCGAGCGGGGATCGTCACTGCGGATCTCAGCCGATGGACAGAAGCAGGAGGCGGAGGAAGAGGAGGAGGAGGAAGAGGAGGAGGTGTGGAAGGAAGAACAGCTTGACAACAGCTCCTCTGTGGAGAGGAGGCCCCCTCGCTTCTCCTTGTGAAAGCCTGTCTCTCAAACCCTCGCAAACCACCTCAGGCAGATTTATGGGACCACCTCACCTCCG